TACGATATATAATATATATATATATATATGTATGTGTATAAAACAATAATAATTAAAAAATAATATATTATTGTTGACTTTGACATTTGATGGAATAAAGTAACTAATTAGCACTCCCCAATTTTAATTTGGACTTCTATCTTGGGTCTCAAGGGGAAGCCTCTTCTTCGCATGCTACTGTTACTACGGTTCCTCATGCTTTGTATACTAGCCACCTTGAAGGGCCACGTGATACTGCTGTGGATGGGAGAAATAATAAAAGAATGGCCGTTGATGGAGGTAAAGTTGACAGCATGGAAAAATCTGACATGGAAATTGATGGAGGTAAAGTTGCTGGAAAACCGTTTATGAAAGCTGTGAGAAGTGGGTTTGCACAACTATTGAGGGTGACTGGTCTGCACAAATGTGTTCTGGGTGAAGATCTGGGTAACCGGCAGGGGCGGACCGCCTAATGGGCCTATAGGGGCCCTGGCCCCTGTGATTTTTTTCCCAAGTAGCCTTCAATAGTGTAGTCCATTAGCTTCTAGAACACATAAAATTTCAACCGGCCCCCCTTCCAATCCCGAGAGGTGAGAGCGACCACTGCAGCCTGTGGAGTGTGGAGAACGAGGACTCGAGGAGCGTATTGCGCACGTCTGATCGACGGAAACGAGAGCGCAGCGAGCCAGCGACCAGCGTAGACGGCAGGCGGAGGCGGAGGCGGCACTCGGCGGTCGACGGCCAACGCCCAGCCGGCCACGATAACTCCCGGTAAGTCCGTCCTTCTCTTCTCTCATTCTCTGCTGACTGCTGCTTGCTGCACTTCTGCTACTGCTTGCTGCACTTCTGCTACTGCTTGCTGCTAATGACAGGGAACACAAATGTGAAATGTTGGACTTTTTGTTTTGAAATCAAGACCCAAAAGTGGTGATTTACTGATTTAGGTGATTATTAGGTCTAAATTTATGACTTTATGTGGTGATTTAATGGTTATGTGGCTGAAATTGGTTATTTAGAGATGCCTTTGTTTTGGTATTTGCAATCATATATATGTGGAAATTAAGGTCATTCTTGTACACAGTTAACAGTTCACTGGTTTGTTCTTTGGTTTGTTCTTTTGGTACAAAATTTGGTTAATAGTCATTCAAATGTTGTACGTCAATTAGCTGATTTATTAGGTCTAAATTTATGTGAAAATTAAAGTCTAAACTCTAAATTTAGGTGATTTAGGTGTATGCCAATATGAACTGAAATCATATAATCTAACACTAAAACTGCTATGTAGATAAAGATGAAAACTCAACCTACCATTCATGGGTTTTTTAAAAGAAAGCATGCTAGTTCTTCTTCTCAAGATCCCGAAGAAACAACAAATGTAGATAATACCCCTGCATCTAGTATTCCGCCTATTGAAAACCCTTGCAAAAAAGCTCAAATTGAAAGTAATGATATTGATCTGGGTACACTAGAACGAGCCCTGCTTTGCGTCATCAAATTTATGATTATCCTATCAATCAACAAGATACAATTTGATGAGCTTACATGAATCTTGGTCCTCTTCAACCTACACTTTCTATGTTTCCAAAATCTGGACTAGAAAGTCATAGACGTAGCTTTCAAGCTTCTTAGTATAAGTTACATCCCTGGATTGAATATTCAAAGACCTTGGATGCAGCATTTTGTTTTCCTTGTTTTTTATTTAACAAGCCATCCGGGCTCGGTAACTATGGTCAACGAGCATTTACCATAGATGGGTTTCGAAATTGGAAAAAGGTGGGTGGGAAAAAATGTTGTTTTTTGATGCATATGGGAACCGATTGTACATCTTTCCACAATGTTGCACAAAAGGGATGGGATCATTTATCTAATGAGGCGCAAGATATACGAAATGTATTTGAGAAGTTCACAACTGAAGAGCGTGAGAAAAACAGATTGAGATTGACGGCTTTTATTTATTGCGTCCGTTGGTGTGCCTTTCAAGCAGTTGCATTTAGAGGCCACAACGAAAAGTCCGATTCCATTAACAGAGGGAATTTTCTTGAAATGTTGGAGGCATTTAGTGAGTTTAGCATCGAGCTTAAAGAGTTATTTTGTCATGCTCCCAGATATGCATCATATACATCACCGTCGATTCAAAAGGAAATTTTGAATCTTATATCAAATAAGGTGAGGCAAATGATTTGTGAGTAAATTGGTGGTCGTCCTTTTTGTTTACTTGTTGACGAAGCACGGGAAGAGTCCCATAAAGAGCAAATGTCTCTTGTTTTGAGATTTGTTAATAAAGAGGGTTTCATTATAGAACCTTTTTTTTGGACTTGTTCATGTACGTGACACTACGGCACAAATGCTCAAGGATGGAATCTATTCTTTGTTGTCACATTACAATCTTGATGTCAAGTCTATTCGTGGACAAAGGTATGATGGTGCAAGCAATATGCGAGGTCAATTCAAAGGTTTGCAAGCCTTGATTTTAGAAGATTGTAAATACGCATATTATGTTCACTGTCTTGCTCATCGGTTGCAATTGGCATTAATGGCCGTCTCTCAAGGAGTTGTAGCACTACGTAAGTTTTTTACAACGTTGTCTTTTGTTGTCAATGTTGTTAGTGCTTCTTCCAAACGCACTGACCAACTACGAGATGCACAAGTCGAGGAAATTGCATACTTGATTTCTGTTGATGAATTAGAGACCGGTAGAGGTCTCAATCAAATTGGTACATTACAACGAGCCGGAGATACTAAATGGAGTTCTCATCTCAGATCGGTTTCTAGCCTAATCAATATGTTCAGTCCAACTTGTGAGGTTTTGCTCAAAATTTTTTAGGAAGGAACTGGGCCAATCAAAGGAGATGCAGATTTGGCATATGAGGCTATGACGACATTTGAGTTCATATTTATCTTGCATCTCGAAAGAGAAATAATGGAGATCACTGATATACTTTGTCAAGCTTTACAAAGGAAAGATCAAGATATTTTTAACTCATTGAGGTTAGTTGCATCTACCAAATTGTTATTGCAACTAATGAAAGATGAAAGCTCGGATGCTTTGCTTTGCTTTGTTAAGTCATTTTGTCAGGTACATAACATAATTATCATACACTCGAACATCGTTATCAAGTAAATCTTCCTAACTTGTCTTCTTCTTGACTTGTTTTCTTGTCAGGTACGTAACATAGATATTCCCGACTTGTCTTCTTCCTATGTTAGCAGAGGGAATCGAGCTCGTAATGAGCATAGTGATCATACACTTG